AAATTTCAATTACGGGTTTGTTGATTCACTATAATTTTTTTTTTTTTTATAATGCTTTTGCAGAATATTGGGATATTGGTGATGCGATATTGAATTGTCAATATTGTGGAGCACTTTTTTGGGTAGTTGAAAAGAAAAAAACTCAGAAAATTAGAGGAATACCAGATTATAGCGGTTGTTGCCAAAATGGGATTGTTGAACTCCCGATCCTGAAAGATCCTCCCAGTTTTCTGAATGAAATGCTCTTTGGAGATAGCCGTACAAGCAAACATTTTCAAGAGAACATCAGATCTTACAATAGCATGTTTGCCTTTACATCATTTGGTGGAAAGGTTGATGGAGCTATTAATAGGGGTACTGGACCACCTGTGTTTTCCTTGCATGGGCATAACTATCACCTTATGGGTAGTTTGCTTCCTTCAGAAGGTTCAACTTCAAAATTCGCACAATTGTACGTATATGATACCGAAAACGAGATTCCAAATAGAATCAATGCTGTGAGGTAAATATTTTTTACTTTAAATTTTCAATATATCAATGGTAATACCTACTTTTATTCATTGTATCAATTTATTTAATTTTGTTTCTTTCCAGGCAAAGAGATGGTGACAACAACTTGCACGAGGATATAGTCGTTGGGTTGAAGGAAATGTTAGACGACCATAACGAGCTGGTTAAGTCATTTCGTATGGCTCGAGACAGAATAAAAAATCATGGTCAAGCTGAAATTAGAATCCGTCTAATAGGAAGGAGATACAATGACGCCAGACGTTATAATTTACCCGCAAGCTCTGAAGTTGCTGCTTTGATTGTTGGGGATTTTGATCAGTCTCTAGGTGAAAGGGACATTTTAGTTGAATCGAAGAGTGGCCGTCTGCAACGGATAAACGAACTAAATGCTTCGTATCTGGCTTTACAATATCCACTGTTATTGCCTTATGGAGAGGATGGGTATAGGGAAGATATTCCATTTTCTGCTATTAAAGTAGAGACTGAAGATGGTAGAAAACACGTTAGTTGTAGGGAATTTTTTGCATATCGTATGCATGATAGGGATTTTGAGCCACGAACAATTCTTTCATCTAGAAGACTATTTCAACAATTTGTAGTTGACGCTTACACAATGGTTGAAGCATCGAGGTTGCGATATATTCGCTTTAATCAGAAAAAGCTTCGTTGTGAGATGTATAAGGGTCTGGCTGATGCTGTGCTGCGTGGCGATACCGATCCCAGCTCTCGAGGAAAGCGTATTATTCTCCCTTCTACATTCATTGATGGTCCTAGGAATATGATTCAAAATTACCAGGATGCAATGGCAATTTGTAGGTGGGCAGGATATCCTGATTTGTTTGTCACATTTACCTGCAATCCAAACTGGCCGGAGATTATTCGTTTTCTTGAACCGAGGAAATTGCGTCCTGAGGATCGACCAGATATCGTTTGCAGGGTATTTAGGGCAAAACTTAAGGGAATGATAAAGGATTTTCGTGAGAAACAAATCTTCGGGAAGGTTACTGCAGGTCAAACATTTACTATAAATTTTAATTTTAATTTGTATACTAATATCATAATTTATTCTTTATTAATAAAACAATCCAATACGATTATTTAGTAACCATATTTATCAATTTCTATTGTTTATTTTTTTCAGTTGTCTACACCATTGAATTCCAAAAGCGTGGACTGCCACATGCACACATACTGCTTTTCTTTGACAAGGACCATAAGTTTCCCGACCCATCTGACATTGATAGGATAATATCTGCTGAGATACCGGATGAGACGTTCGATCCTATGTATTATCAAGCTGTCAAGGAACATATGATGCACGGACCGTGTGGTGCTGCAAGAAAAAACTCACCGTGCATGGTAAACGGCAAATGCAGCAAACGATTTCCAAAAAAATTTGTAGATGCCACCAGTGTGGATGAGGATGGGTATCCACGGTACAGGCGTCGAGAAGATGGTAAATATATTGAGAAGAATGGTGTCTTCCTCAATAATGGTTATGTTGTGCCCCATAATCGTTGTTTGCTCATGAAATATGGCGCACATGTTAACGTTGAGTGGTGCAATCAATCACGATCCATAAAGTACTTATTCAAGTATGTTAACAAAAGAAATGATCGTGTGACTGCATCATTCTATCAAACTTCTGCTGATGGAAATGTTGAAAAGCCGCTGGATGAGATCAACATGTACTATGATTGTCGTTATGTGTCTTCTTGTGAGGCTGCTTGGAGATTGTTGGGTTTTGAGCTGCAGTATAAGTGGCCAGCAGTACAACGTTTAAGCTTTCATCTTAAAGATCAGCAGAACATAATTTTTGAAGATGATGATGATTTGGAGGATGTTTTGAATAAACCAACAGTGAATGAAAGCCAATTTCTAGCTTGGTTTGAGGCGAATAAGAAGTACCCAGCGGCCAGGGAGCTAACTTATGTGGAGTCAACATCGAAATTTAGGTGGAACGCAAAAACTAGAGAGTGGACTCCTCGAATAAAAGTGGAACAATTGCCCGTCTACACCACGTGAATCCTGGCTGTGGTGATAATTACTATTTGAGGTGTTTGCTAAATGTTGTTCGCGGTGCTACATGTCACGAGGACTACATGAAAGTAGGCGAAGTCCAGTATCAAAATTATCGAGATGCCTGCTACGAACATGGATTGTTAGATGATGACAAAGAGTACATAGACGGTATAATCGAAGCAAGTCATTGGGCATCTGCAGAGTCTCTTAGGCGTATGTTTGCGTCATTGTTGATTTCTGGCTCTTTTAGTAGACCTGAGGACGTATGGCAACAATGTTGGATGTTATTATCTGACGACATTCTATACAGACAGCGACGATTGTTCAATAACGATGGTAATTGTGCTTTTTATATCATTGAATATATATAAATTATTTTTTTTACATAAAAAATACAAACTATCAATTATTACATTGTGTAACCATTGCTTCTCTAAAATATTGAATTTTTCGACTTTCAGATTTGCGGCTCAGTGAAGATGCTATAAAGAATCTCACCCTTGCTGAAATTGAGACTCTTATGCGAATTCGCGGCTCAAGTCTTCGTGAATATTCATCCATGCCTTATCCGGACAGTGGTAGTATTCATAACACTTCAAACCGCCTTCTATTGGATGAGCTTACTTATGATCGTAGCGCGCTTTCTGTGGAACACGAAGCACTTCTTGGAAGAATGACCGATGAACAGAAAGGAGTTTATTCAAGAATTATGTCCGCTGTTGATTCAGGTGCTGGTGGAGTATTTTTTGTATACGGTTATGGAGGTACTGGAAAGACATACTTGTGGAGAACTTTGTCTGCGGCATTGCGGTCGAAGGGAAAAATCGTTTTAAATGTGGCATCGAGTGGAATTGCATCGCTTTTGTTACCTGGTGGAAGAACTGCACATTCTCGATTTCGAATACCCATTAATCTTCATGAAAATTCTTCTTGTGATATTGATCAGGCAAGTCCTCTTGCGGAGCTGATAATGAAATGCTCTCTAATCATATGGGACGAGGCGCCGATGATGCACAAAAATTGCTTTGAGGCAGTTCAAACATCACTGCAGGGTATAATGGGAGTATTAGACCCTTCGAATAAAAGCAAGCCCTTCGGAGGCAAGCCGATTGTCTTTGGTGGAGATTTTCGACAGATCCTTCCAGTCATTCCAAAGGGGAGTCGGCAAGACATTGTCAATGCATCTATTAATGCATCTAGCATTTGGAATGACTGTACTGTGCTCCGGCTTACGAAAAACATGCGTCTTCAGAGCATTTCCGATTCAGATGAGCGTGACGAGGTGGCTGCATTTGCGGATTGGATTGCGAGTATTGGAGATGGTACTATAGGAGGATCAAATGATGGTTGTGCCGCGATCGAAATTCCAGATGATATAAGACTGGATCCATCTGATGATCCAATTGCTGCGATTGTAGAAAGTACTTATCCAATGTTCAAGAATGCAACTAACGATCCGAGTTATTTGAAGGATAGGGCTATATTAGCTCCCACATTGGAAGTTGTTGAGTCAATCAATCAATACATGTCAGATATGAATTCTTCTGAAGGTCGTACGTACTTGAGCTCTGACAGTACTTCTAAGTCGGATTCTGGCAATGATTTCTTGGCAGATCTCCACACGCCAGAATTCCTGAATAGCATAAAGTGCTCTGGAACTCCCAATCATAAGTTGCATCTGAAGGTAGGAACTCCAGTAATGTTGTTGCGCAATATGGACCATTCTATGGGACTGTGCAATAGAACGCGATTGGTTGTGACTAAACTCTCTACTCATGTTCTCGAATGCAAGATATTGACGGGAGATCACGCCGGAGAGAATGTGTTGATTCCTAGAATGAATATCACTCCATCTGATACTAGGATTCCATTTAAGTTCCAGCGGCGACAGTTTCCACTTGTGATTTCGTATGCGATGACCATAAACAAGAGTCAAGGACAGTCTTTATCGCACGTTGGTCTATTCCTGAAGAAACCGGTTTTTAGTCACGGCCAATTATATGTTGCTGTTTCACGTATGACTACTAGAAGAGGGTTGAAAATATTAATTTGTGATAATGAGGAGTTACCCAATAACCAAACTCATAATATTGTGTACAAGGAGGTTTTTAATAATATATGATTGTTTCGTGACGAAACAATCCTTCTTTTTGTAATAATAATGTTACTACGTATTTTAATTATAATTATTTCGATCCTAATTCATGCCATATTTTATTATTCTCCAAAATTTTACATTCCGTGCAACGCACGGGTTTTGCACTAGTTAACCAAAACGCAACATTTTATTCGCACAATTACAAGACAAGCGATTTAATATTAAATCTTATATTTATAGATATGGCGGACTTATAAAAAAATGATCCTACATTTTTATTGGCAT